TGGTTACAAGTTTGCACCTCAAACGGATTCCATATTTTGACCAAACCTCATAAGAAAATCTTCAGTGTAACATCAAGTGATTAACTGATTCAGTTTTCTCATCACATAAAATGCAGTTGGTGGAATTCAGTGGCATACCCTTCCTTACCAAGTTGTCTCTGGATAGAATTGATCAAGTAGGTGGCCCAAACAAAAAAGGCTACCTTTGAGGGAACATTTTTACACCAAGTAATACTATGAAATGGCCTGGTGGGTGGTGGAGCTTTCTTTTGTTGGGCCCAGTATACATGGCAAATAATCAAGAATCTCCAACTTTGGTCAAGCAATATAGATTTTTGGTGTTGATTGACTGGGGAGATTTGTCCCCTAACTCCCACGTCATTCTTCCCAGGTTGGTGGAATCAGATCACTGTCTTTTGTTACTTACGGGTGTTTCCCAATTTAGAAGGAAATCTCCCTTCGGGCAGGAAAATAGCTAGACTGAAGGTCAAAGTTTTGAGGAGCTAATCACCTCAAAGTGGTGGGCTCTCATATCATGGCCATAAAGTTGAAAGAACAATTTATCTAACATCAGAGAAGGAGAAGGAGGAATGCTATTAATTATTAAAGTTAATAACTTGGCTGAAGAAAGAGGGATCTTATTTGAAGAAAAATGACTCAAAGATTGGAGGCAAAGAAAAAATTTAATAAGTTAGGTTATAAAGAAGATAGGGGTTCTTACAAAGGTTTATATAAAGCTTCACAAAGAAGGCCATTCTTGTTAGGTGATGTGAAGTTTAAAAAGATTGAAGAGTCAATGAAGGAGTGATTGGAGAGAGAGAGTTTGAGGAGGAAGAGGTTTGGGGGGCAGTTAAAGTTTAAAGGGATATAAGGCATAGTGTTTGAATGGTTTCAGTATTTCTTCTTTTTTAAAGATCTCTGGAGCATTGCTAAGGAAGATTTGATGGGGATGTTTTAGAAATTATGGGAAGATAAAGTGATTGAGAAATACTGAAGCTGCTTTAGTTCTGAAGATTAATTTGCAAACGATCCAGCTTATACCTGTTGGTGATGTCCCACAAATAGATGAACTGGCAAGGACCTTGGCTTGACACTTGGAGCAAAATACAACTCACTGCTATTTGGGATCTAGTCATTAAGTATAATTCCATAGGAAATTAGCTGGAAAGGGTCCTATCTTTCAAAAGGGGTAAACTTGTTCTTATCCAAAGTGTGCTTTTGAATCTGTCTACATATTGTATGCCTTTCTCTAATATGCCTACATTCTGGAGAAGCTTCACAAGACTTTCTTTGAAAAGGTCATAATGGAGAGAAGTATCATCTAGGGGCCTGGAACAACGTCTGTGAACCTAAAACTGCTGGAGGTTTGGGTTTAAGGAAGCTGTGCACAATGAACAAATCCCTCCTTTGCAAATGGTTATGGAGGTTTGGGGAGGAAAGCAATAATCTGTGGTGAAAGATAATTGCAAGAAAATATGGACTTTGTCCTACTGGCTGGGACTCTCTAAACCCGAATTAGCCTTATGGTTTTGGTGTCTGGAAAGTTATCATGAAACTGAAATCAGATCTTGAAGATTTTACTATATTGAAGTCGGGCCCTGAGGTGAGAGAACTTATTTCTGGAAGGATGGCTGGTGCAATGGTCGCTTTCTCTATGATCTCTTTCCAGTGTTGTTTCTCTTCACCTCAAACAAAGAATGACCTGTTATGACTGTTATGAAAGGGTAGGTTCAAGTATAGTATGGAGTCCTACTCAGATGTAATACGAATGACCTGGAACTGGAGGCTCTTGGTTCTCTGCTGGAGCGGGAGGCTCTTGGTGATATTTTCGGTTGTTTTGCCTGTAAGTCTGGTTAAAAGGCCCTCTCACAGGTCCACCACCTCAGCCTGTTCCTTGGGCGTGGATCTGGTGGGTACAGGTCCCCCTAAGGAATTTTCTTCCTCTGGTCGACAACCCTGGATAGAATCCTAACCATTGACAGCCTAGTGGTTAGGGGCATGCAATTGGAAAGGGAGAACTCTTGCTGTTTGTGTGGAAACTTTCAGGAATCAGTGTCTTATCTTCTCATTCACTGTGTTTTCTCTCAATAGATCTGTTCTCATTTTTTGAATCTGTTTGGGAGATTCTGGGTGACACCCCTGATGTGCCATTTTTGCTGGCCTCTTGGAAGCAGCCTGGTTTCTGGCTAAGGTAAAAATTCTCTGGAAGTCCCTCTCCCTTGCACTCTGCTGTGCTATCTGGAAGGAGAGGAATAGCAGGATTTTTGAAGCAAAGTTCTCTCCCCCTGAAGTGGTGATTATCAAAATAGAATGGTCGCTTATTCAATGGATAGGGGTCCTGAAGATTTTTTCTGCTGTCCCCATTCAGATTCAATCTTTTATGAATTAGTGGAGAAATGCCATTACTGAAGTCTTTTGTTTATACATGTATGGAACTGAGAAGGTTTTATTATTATTATTATTTATTTTTTACTCAGCTGTATAGCAGCCTTATGTTTTAAGGGGTCTCTCGTCCCTTCTTCTTTTCATAGTAGTACAAATTTCAGACCATTTATCAAAAAAAAAAAAAAGTTTTAGGGTGATGGAGTTTAGACCAATAAGTTTTATTTCCAGCCCATATGAAATTATTGCAAAAGTAGTGTCAAGGGGGCTTATGTTGGTGTTGCATGAGGTTGTGGGTCCTATTCAAATGGCACTTGTTGAAGGTAGACAAATTCTGGATGGATTTCTGATTGGTAGTGAATGAGTGGATGCTAAAATAAGAAGTGGTGTGGTTGGAGCAATTTGTAAAATAGATATGGAGAAGGCCTATGATCATGTGGAGTGGGTTTCTTTTGAGGAGGTGTTATCAATGGTGGGATTTGGTGAGAAGTAGAGAAGTTGGATCTTTGTTTGTGTCTCAACAGAATTCTTCTAGGCTTTGAGGGGTTTGAGACAAGGGAATTCCTTATATCTTATGTTGTGTTGGTGGTAGATGTTTTAAATAGTTTGTTAAATAGAAGTCTGGAAGCAGGTCTGATTGGAGGGTTTAAGGTTGGGAGAGAGGGCTTTATTGTTTCCCATCTTCAATATGCTGACGATATTTTGGTGTTCTTGGATGCTTTGGTGGATCAAGCATTGAAGTGGGGAGCTACTCCCAAATGTTTTGAGTTGCTCATTGGGCAGAAAATAATGTGAATAAGAGTATAATATTTTGGGTTGGGGAGATTGCTCAATCTCTGTTAGAAGAGTATGCAGTTTCTATTAGATGTTTAGTAGGGGAATTTCCATTTTGTTATTTTGGGCTTCCAGTTGGTGAAAGAGCATCTACAAATTCAACTTAGCAGCTAGTGCTAGAATAGATCAAAGGTTGGCTGGCTAGAAAAGGAAGATATTTTTTGGGTGGTAAAATCACTTTCATCAAACATAGTTTTTGTAACTTACCTATTTACTATTTGTTTCTTCTCAAAATTCTGGCTTTGGTGGATAATTCAATTGAGAGGATGCAAAGAGAGTTATTATGGAACATTAAGTTAATGGAAAGAAAATATCATTTGGTCAAATGGGCTTTGATGTGTGGGGAGAAGGATGGGGGATTTGGGGATTCATAGAGTTAGATTATTCAATAAAGCATTGTTTGGAAAGTGGTTGTGGAGGTTTGGGATAGAGAAGGGGTCTTTGTGGAGAAGAGTTATTGCTTGCCGGTATGAGGTGGTTAGCCTTAGGTGGGATTCCAAGGAGGTGAAACCTTTTTGTTGTTCGTGTGTGTTTAGAAAGGGGTTATGAATTTTCATTTGGCATTCCTAAACTGTGTCATTTCGGGTGGGGAGGATGGTGTGATTGGTAAGGGTTGGTAGGTTATGTGATCTTTGTTTGAGGCTTTACACGTTAAGTGAGAAGGACACTTCAGTGGCTTAATGTTTTGAAGTTAGTTATGGTGTGGTGGTTTAGCGTCCTAGAATCAGAAGATCACTTTTTGATATGGAGATTGGGGAGTTCTTAAGGTTGTTGGATAAATTTCAAGCTATAGAATTCCAGCTGGACAGACCTGATTCAAGATGGTGGAAAGAGTACAACAATGGTTTATTTACTGTTAAATCATTTTATAAAACTTTGGCAAGAAACTAGGTTGAAAAGGCTCCAATAAAGGGTGATTGGGGGAATCCAGTTCCCCCTAGGGTTGAAGCCTTTGCTTGCTTGGTTTCTTTGGATGAATTCTTACTCAAGACTATTTAAGTAGGAGAATTCAGATTGTAAGTGGGTATTGTTATGCGAAAGCAATGTGAAGGGTGTTTTTCATCTGTGCTTTGGTTGTAGTTTCTCAAGGTTCATTGGGGATTTTTCTTCAGACTCTTTTTGGCTTGGTGATGTAGTCTCCAAGATATGTGAAAGAAATCTTTTCTTGTTGGTTTGTTTTGGATGGGAGTAAGAAAACGAATATTATGGTTTCAGAAGGCTTAAAAGGGTAAATAATGATTCTTTTCCCATATCATGGTACGATTATTTGGTTGGCATGCTTCATGGTTCATGCATCTTGTTTAGCTGTATGTTTCTAGCAATGTTGTTTATTTGTCACTCTGCGCTGTTTGTCTCTCCTCAATATTCAGGCATGATATCTAGGTTACTAAAATGTGGTTCTTCTGTGGCTAAAAAGTAAAATAGTTTCAAATGTCTAGCTTGTAAATTTCTAATTAGTTTCATGAATATCTTGTTGTTATCTACTTGTCTTGTATTTATTTGTTACAAGGCATGGATGATTCATGGGATTATTCTTGTGATTTGGTTTGGTACTAAACACATTGAGAAATTCGGTTGCCTTTTTCCTATCTTTATTTATTTCCTTTAACTTTTGTCCTTTGTTTAGAGGGTATTAGTTGAACTTTATCTATAAACTCTTCTCAAAACTATACTATCATGGTCTTCTATGTATAATAAATTTCTTTTCTAAATTAGAACTTTTTATACTTTTTTATTTTTATGACCTTACATGTTTCTAATGGATGACTTGTTTTTAATTTAAGGGATTTATTTTGGATACAGCCAAGTCACTAACATTTCCTCTTCCACTTCTAGCAGTGGCTCATCAACAACTTATTTATGGTATTAATTTTAATCATTTTAGACATTTTAAATGATACATGGTATGTTCCAGTTTTGTAATTTTTTTTGGATCAGTATGTGGCAATTTTTAATGCCTGAAAGCAACCTGTTTCTTGTTTGTCAAGGGTCTTCCCGTAAACACAGAGATGATGACGACACTACTCTGGTTAAGGTTATTTTCATGTATCAATTTTCTCTTTATAGAAGTACCTGTTAGTACATTTCTTTTTGTAACCTGCTTTATAATCAACCTACTGATTCAAATTTTGGAAGATATTTTCTGGATCTTGATTTTGTTAGGTTAGCATCAGTTAGTTAATTTTTGTGTTAACACTGCATTATTCTTGCACAGATATGGGAGAAGGTATTTGGAGTGAGTATAACAGATGCATCTAATGCAGAATCTTACAGCCCTCAGCAGTTGGCTAGTCAAATTACTGCTTCATCAAAAGCTGTAAAGCGCGTTGGTTTCATTGGTCTTGGAGCAATGGGATTTGGCATGGCAACTAATCTCTTAAGATCAGAATTTTGTGTTCTTGGTTTTGATGTAATACTTCATTCCTTCCCATATTAATATTATTTCCTAGTGATTTTCAACTTTCTATCTGGAGTATGAGAACAAGATGATTTCATAATACCTAAACCGTTGACCATCACATTGGATGATCTTCTAATCCACTTGATGCTGACACCAATCTCCCTTGGTAGACAAATTATCTCCCTCATGACCTGCCTGTGGGTCCACACCCCCAGATTCCTTGTTTGCATCCACCCTATCACTAACTTAGAGTCGTCCACTTCTATCTGCTGGAACCCCAACTGTTTAGCCAATCCCAATCCTTGGAGGAGGGCCATAACTTCTCTCTATGTGAGTCTCTCACTCCTATTGGATCAGAGTAAAGAGTCGCTAACCTTCCCTCCCCATCTCTATAAACTCCCCCAATGTTAGATGGTCCCAGGTTGCAAAATGAGATCCCATCAAAAGCTAAGCTTAATTATTTGAAGTGATGAAGGGAACCAAATCTCTTGAATCACAGCCTTGATAGGTGATGAAAAATAAATGTCAATAAAAACATGTTTCAAGTTGTTCTATTTAAAAATACTTGTATATTTAAAAAGAAATGTTAATAAACCGTAAGACAGGCATATATTTTTCCTATATATCTTTTCATCCTCTTCCTTTAATTTTTAGCCTTTGGCATCATTGTTAGTTTGCAGAAAATGGAACATGTTACCTTCGTTTTTTATATTACACAATATTTTCTATTATATATTTATAGTGCTTTGCAAATAAAGAAGTTGTCTGATGGTATTTGATTTATTTAAAGAATGCTAGTTTTATAGGTTTGACCAGAAAAAGAATTCTTGTACCTGGATCTAGTTGGTTTATTAGGTATTTTTCTCCTCAAAAAATGGAGTCAACATCTGGTTAGAAGAATGTAGAGTGCATTTGAGTCTCATTATGAAGGTCTAAAATTACAGGTTGTTAAGGTAGAATTCGAAAGACATGCAAACAACAAAATGGATGTAGCAGGTTGCATCCTTTTATTGGTGTTTTGGTACATTAAGAAACTGAATTTGAAGCGATATATGCTCCATATTTGACAAAGTATGGATCCTGTGGATAAGGACAATTAGATTTGTTTTCATTTAGAGAATATCTATATATTTTCATGTCTTCTAAGGTAGATGATTGTCTTGTGGATTAATCAAACATAATATTTCCCAAAGTCAAGACCCCTTGGTAGTTTTACTGGACTTTCTTTGAAGTGATTTCTTTGTCTTGTAAGGAATATTGGCTTTATGACTTTTGTGGACTTTTTAAGATAATAACTTTGGTCTGGTGATGGTTCTTTTTGGATTTTAGGTTTATAAGCCAACTCTATCTCGGTTTCTAGATGCTGGTGGCTTGGTTGGGAACTCTCCTGCAGAAGTATCTAAAGGTAATTCAAAATTTTCATTGATATCCCAAAGTTGTTCTAAATTCAGGTCTTCAAGTTCAAGGCTTTTGAAAAAGAGATTGCTATGGGGTATTGGGGATAAGTCTATTTTCCTAGAATTTGAGGCATGGTGGTACTTTATTTCTTACAACTTGTTATAAAGGTGCTGCTGCTTTGTTAGGCAAGGATTATTGGTTGTTAACAGGAAACATGGTGGTTTGGTCCTTTCTAAATCTGCTTTGTTAGGGGTAGTTTCCTTGATTTATTTTGGTCCATCTTTTGTTTACAAGGGTGGGGAAAATGCTCACAGGTATTTATTCATTCTTAGGCTTAAAGGTGAAATAGGCATCGTTTTCTAATAAATAAAATCCATCACCTTTTTCAAGAAAAGGCATGGTTGTATTTTCATGCGGATCTATTGGAGCCTTCTGCATATGGTTGATTTTGATTACAACAATAAATATGAATAGATATCTGTAATAAGAGTTAAAGAGAGGAAGAAAGCAAGAGAATAGAGAGAGAAGGAAGAGAGAGGAAGAATGGAGAAGCACTCCATATTGTGGGAAAAGATCAGTCCCCACTTTTCTTTCTATTAACTAATACAATTGAATGATGAAAATTACATCAGTACCGCCAATTAGGTGGCAGCAATGAGGAGGCTAATAAACAAATATAAACTGGTCCATGGACCCAACAACTATCTTGACAGTATGTCCAGCCAGAAATAAGAGGAAGAGAAGAGAAGAGAAGAGGAGAAGAAGAGAAGAGAGAAGAGAGAAGAGAGAAGAGAGAAGAGAGAAGAGAGAAGGGTTTTGCAATGTAACAGTGCTGGCGGTGCCAGCCTTTATTTTAATATATATAGGGCGGCAGAATAACAAGGGAAAAGACCCTTGTGCCCCTGAGTATAATAACAGACATAACAGAAAGAAAAAAAACGAAATAAAAGAAACACTTTAACTAGCCAAACAGACCCTAACATCAACAACTAAATTATTTTAACACTCCCCCTCAAGTTGGAGCATAGATGTCAATCATGCCCAACTTGTCACACAAATCTTTGTGCCGCACATGATGAAGACCTTTGGTGAAGATATCTGCAAGTTGTTCTTCTGAGCTGACATATGGTGTACACACTTCTCTATTT